GTAAGTTGCAATGTCCTTAGAATAATGAGTATATTCTGAGAACAAGAAGACAAGGGTTCTCGTAAGTACATGGCAAAGAAGTTTACGTGACCTTTTGAAGGTACCTTGACCCGCGTAAGTGCCTGAGATTTGGTGTCCACTACTTTGCTTATATCAGCGATCCATAAACACCCCTAAGGAGCCGTGTAGAATGTTCTAACTAAGCGATAACTTCTCGCGAATAGTGATGACTAGGAATTGTGGCACACGTCTGCATCGTTCTCGATTTTGTATGAACATCACTAGTAATAGTGGTTGTAATGATACTAATAATAGTATTCACCGGCCAGTTTATTTTCCAGGTGAGCACTTGATTTCAGAACGGTCAAAGAAACGTACGAAGTGACGGGAAAATATCCTAAACAAAACCAGTTTTAACAGACGTAATGCACTACTCATAAGATTTCTGGAAATTCGTCGAACCCACGACCTGTTTCGCCTTTCTTGGGGCTCATAGGTTAGGCGCAGTCCCCTAGTTTTCGTCAACCTTTTGTTCTACTTGAGCGAAATTAGCAAACCACAGTCATTTGCAAACAAATTTCGTCTTGCGAGGGACCCACCTGAAACCCAGCTGAACCTCTCGCCTGTGATGTTTCCAGGCAACTGAATGTGCTGCACCGGGTCGCCNCTGCACCAGGCCGCCTCATGTTTCAGTCGCTACGATATTCGAGATATCGAGATACATGCATATTCGTGATGTACTACTCATTAGGTTGCTGAAAATGCATCGATACCCCACGACTGGTTTCGCCCTTCTTGGGACTAATCAGGTAGACACAGTTCCCGAGTTTCCGTCAAGTTCATGTTATCTCGCAAAACCAAATTTGTTTGCAATTGAGGGTATTTCGCTAAAACCAGCTTTTATTACTTTGCAGTTCAAAAAGTCGTCTGACAATTTCGGGAAATTCTTCCAGTAACGTTTGACGCTGTGGAACCGGAAAAAACATGGTAAAATCTGGTGGAAGGTAGCTCAGGCCATCCTTGAACGTTCTCTCAAATGGTTCACTGGTTCCAGTACTGCTGCGGGAAACACCAGTGGCAAACGAATTGGGTGATGAGTACTAATCAGGATTTCCGTGCACCTTTGCCGATTAGAGTTCTTGTAACACGAAAAAGGATCATGGTTGAGTATCAGGCCAGGAGGCGACGATCTAGTTCTGTTGCCCTGATACGGTGCTGCAGACCTAAATGGTCTAAGCGACTTGAGCATGTGAACAGCCTTGCTGTGAAGACAAACGCTGCTCCCGTACCCACCAAGAATGCTGCAATTGTTTCATTTTTACCTCCACTCTACCTCCCAGTAGAATTCAACGAAGAATATTAAAACATCGGAATTTGATGAAATTTAGTCAGTCCTATCTGTACTGTGAATTTCATCAGGTCGATATCCCCCCTATGAAAATTTGTCAGCCCATTGTATTTATCGGTTTTTGTTGGCCTCCGATTGAGCGTGATTGCACGTAATGTAAAAACTATGAACAAAATACCTATCCCGCGAAACCCCAAAAATTGTAACGAGAAAGTTGCCCAGTGGGTCTCAGTCGTGTGTCACGCTACTTGACTGGGAAGTTCTGATTGGTGGGTCAATCGATCGTCACAACCAGGACCGGGCTCAACTGTGAACACGTTCGCCTGTTCAGACGTGAAAATTCAGATGTGTCCAACGTGCGTCGGTGGAGCAGTGGTTATACGCTTGCCTCGCATGTCATATGCCCGGGGTTCAAATCCCGGTACGGTCATTGGATATGTACTGCTGGCGAGCGAAACTGGAGTCCAGTGCTTCCAGTGCACCTCTGGTGCGGAATTATGGGAATAATTACACCAGGACTGGAGAAGGACTGTTCAAAATGACAAACGAACCCATTTACAAAAGCGGAATGTCAAAAACTATTGGGTATCTTTCCGTGATTGTTGGTAATGTGAGGAGATTTGGGAATTTGTTGTCCTGTGAAGGAAGACACTGCATGCTGAGAAGCAAAGAAGCACTGTAATGCTGTTTTATCCTTATTCGGAGTCATCAGCAGTGCGCATCTAACGAAACTCCGGAGAGTCTCGAACCAGCCACCCTCTGGCGGGTTCGAACACTTAACCGTTCGGCCACGAGTGGCTGATTAGCAGTCTGATTAACTCGCACTCAGACGGGATATAGCGTGGTTCATCATTCAGTCACCTGGTCATCATGAGTTGACTGGCTTTTCAAGGATCGATTTTTCAGATGGAAGTTTTGCTTGTCGGATGAATTTTACTCTTCCTCTGAACTAATTACAGATGTCAGTACTACGGTTGGTTAGTACGGTGATTCTCGGCTGTTCAGCGTAGATTGGCCTCGCTTACAGGATAAAATCTGGACCATGACTGTCTCACCAGTGTATTCTCCGTACAACACTATCCGAATTCCAAACAATGTCTCCAAGTTTGTCACCAGTGTGCCTGTCTTTTTCATAGAGTTTGCTTACAAATATTTGTGTCTTCTACTCTTCCACAAGAGGGACATCTGTCACAGTTTGTTAAGACGCTTTCAATGTGGTCAAGTTGATACTGCAAACTGTCTCTGGGCCCATTCGTTCTGCTTCAAGTCTTGTATTTTCGTTATTAACTAGGGTTTGTTTCTCAGCAACTTTCTTGAGCCTGCTTCCAGTCGTGCAGCTTGGTTAAGCTGTCAAGCTTTTATGAATCTAACGGTTGTCGATTTTTCACGCGAATCAACAACAAACAGTGGCTATTACTTTTAGATTCTTGTCGTGCAAGCGTATTGTGTTTTATGCTTGCCCATGTATTTGTGCTTGCCCGGCTCCGATCCTCACTTCCTGTTCGCGTCGTTGCCTTTAGTTCTTATTCGTCAACGGGAAGCCCCAAATTAAATGGCGTTCTTCCTTTCCCTGATAGTTTCCAGAAAATTTTTGAGTTACTAATACTTTTTCCTTGCCAGACCAATTGTTTATTGGATATTTGTGGATGCGAGAACTGTGAAGCTCACACGCACAGGTTCTAACAGTCACTGCGCAGTCCTCGTGCAGCTATTCGCATAAGCCCATCTCAAAGGTGCAAACTACTGAGTTCGCTTACTCGATCTCTACAGCATTGCAAACCTTGGTCGCGTCGAGGTTTGAATTCCAGACTCTGAAGTGTTAGGTGAGTTCGTTACCACTACCCCACCAGCACATGGCGAATTGTCATTTCTGAACAGGCGACTTTGCTTACGCTTTTGTAACGTGTTTGGTTTCCCCGAATTCTCGGACCACGACTCAGTAACTGCCGTTCGACTAATTCTCCCGTCGGATACTGCCAAGAACGCTTGAGACCTGTTGAACAATTTCTGATTCTTGTAGGTGGTTGTAAAACTTCTAGAATGTGGTTTAACACAGCTCGTTTGAGCAGCCAGCCCCCTGTTCTGGCATAATTATTCCGGTAAATCCCAGCCAAAGGTGAAAATGCACCGGCTTTGAGTTTTGAGGAGTCGAGTAAACCAGTCCCGATAACCAAGCGTGAAAGTGTCTGCCCTTTCAGACCTAGTAATTCACATGCTTTCAATTTTTGCTGGTGGGGCACTGGTAATACACTCATCTCGCATATCAAACGTCCCGACATGATCAAGTATGCGCACTGCTGATGAGCAATGGTAGGAAAAAACTCGAGTCCAGTGCTTTGCACTTTTGATGCGGACTCGTGAATATAACTGTATCAGTTCGGTGTCGAACCTGAGTAAATCTGAAGCCCTTTATTGGTCTGCTGTGGTCTGCTCACTGTCATGGCACCCAATCTTTTGTTCTATCTTTTCCCGGTATCGCTGTTCGAAGTACAAGCTCTACTAGACGCGTTTCCGACCGGTCGCTGTTGCTTCGTTCATGCCTAAAACCGTGATTTCTTACGCGAATTGACATACAGGTTCATGGAAAGGTTATCCGAGGAGTCTTATTGTTGCAAAGATGCTCAGAACTGGAGTTGCAGTTAGCCACAGACTGCTAGTCACTCCTCGTATCCCGAGTTGCTAGAATTCAGTCTATATGGTTTCATCGCACAAGTGAAGTGGAATTGAGGACACATACTAAAATTGACTCACACGTTAACAGCCACTTTGTTTCTAATCAAGCGTTCATTTTGAAGGCAAGTGGACTTGTCCTCGGTCGATTTTTCCATCACAATTAATTCAATCCATGGGGAACCAACTCGCAAGATATTTACGTGTACTTGTTCATTAAGCATGGCTTTCATTTGAAGAATTTACGCCGTATTATTAACCAGGAAAATGGGGAATCCTGCCTTTCTTGTAGTGAACAATATGGCCTTTGGTCTTCATTACATTCCTGTTTCGCCATCTTTTACTGTTCCTGGTAGGTTTGCTATGTAATAATACTGAGTGAGATGGCACATACTACTTATTGTGCGTGCCGACTTGCACCTGGGATGAACGACAAAACCACCTACGTCCAGGTGAGTATTTGCAGCAGTGTTCTTCCAGCTTATAGAATCCACTTGCCTTCCCTAGTTTATTGCTCAAAGTCGGTTTCTTATTCAGTACTGTCTGACTCAAAGGATTCTTTTATTTATCAAAGGAATGTCAGTGTCTGCTTGTGCTAATTGCATAACTTATAGTATAACTTATATTGTATAACTTATAATGTAGGTTACCGCGTGTTTTAGTAACATTTTGTTTGAATGTCATCATCACCGCTGTCAGCTGTAATAACCACGCACTTGTCGTACAGTGGTTGTAGCTGCCACAGTTTCGTTCACCGATGATTCGGGGGGCGGAGGTATGTAGCTG